TTCATTCGTTCGTTCGTTCGTTCGTTCGTTCGTTCGTTCGTTCGTTAGTTCGTTCGTTCGTGCGTGCGTTTGTTTGTTTATTTATTCATTCGTTCATTTTTTTATTCATTGATTGATTGATTGATTGATTTATTGATTGATTGACTTCCATAATCATAAAATACTCCATTATAATTGTAATAATAAAAAGGTAAATTATACAATGTGAAAAGATGAAAAAAAATTACTGACTTTACGTACGCTAGTCCTTCGTCGGAGTAAAAGAGCGACGAAGGATTAGCACGGTGTATAATTTACCTTTTTATCATTATTGTTTCATTAGAAAACATACGCAGCTCACACTAGTTTTTAGCTAATTATCTCTTCCATTATAATTGCGCGAGAGAAAAATGCGACACGAGACCGCATGAAGGGAGTAATCTCTTTTGCTTACTTTATTGAAGAAATATTAAAATGCATAGTAATTATAAGTGTTGTGTTGTTTTTTTTCGTGAAACTGTAGTCGTGTAAACGTAAACGTTTGAACTTTTTTTGTTTGTTTTGTATTTCTTAGTACGTTCTGTTCAGTCCGTCTTATAGAATAAAAAGATTTGCAAATCGATCTACTACTTAACGTTGAACTGTTAAATTACACTTAGCAAACATTTTGTTTTGCCCTGTTTTTAGTAAGAACCTCCCAAACAAAATGAACCATTCTTAAAATTCTTTAATGCGAGACTAACAAAAAAATCCAAATGAACTGCCACAAATTCCATCGAAACAATGTTTGATTTCTTATAAATGTATTTCCATGTTAGTCTCGCATCCACAATACTTTTGAGAAGGGTCCATTGCAGTTTGAATCCGTTTATACATACAGTCTTCCTAGTTGCTTGTCAATCCCTTCAAAGCTTTGGTTGTTAAGCACTTTCAATGAACTCCATCTTATTTCTCTACGATTTAGAAAATGCATTTTATTTGTGTACAGCTAAAGATTTTTTTTTAATCCGATGCCCAAATTTCGGTTTGTTTTCCCCTTTCTAACCCCCTTATGCATTTGTTGGTCACGTGACCTTAAGGCACTAAAACGCGTTTTTTGAAATTACGGTGTACACAGCGTTTATCTATCAAGACGAAAAGCACTTAATTTTTAGTTATTTAGAGCATATATTAATTAGTTAGTTAGTTAGTTATTAATAGCCCTTATATTTTCCTTTCTGTATCTACTTTGTTAAGGGACTGCCTACTTTTGGAAATTGATTTAAACTCTTTTTTAAAACTTCGATTTTCCGAATTGAAATTTAATGCTGATTCATGCTAATGGAAGCCTACGCACGAGTTTTTGGAGTAAAAATTGCGCCACCGGAAGTGATTAGAAAAAAATTAAGATTAATAAGATAATAGTTATTTGCAGACTCTATGATTGCACAAATGAAGGCCGAGTCAATCATTCTACAATAATGCATGGATATTTTCAACAAAAATACAAAAAAATTCATTGATTTGTCATATTTTGTAGTTTCGATGCTCTTAAAAAATCTCATAAAGTCGAGCAAAAATCCATACAAAAATCTATCTTTTCATGTGTTACTGATTTAAACTATTTCTAAAATGTTGATATAACCTAGATTTTTAGGAGTTTTTTTCAAATGAGCTATTATAAAATAGAGAGTCCCATGCAAAATTTGAGGGTTTTGCCCTGTTGAAGCTCAAAACACGTATGGTTCTTCAATTAAATCTTGTAGATTTTTCAGCGGAGTTTGAGCGCGCGCTCATCGTGGGCTCAATTTCGAACTTTCAAAAGTAGGCAGCAACCTTAAGTACTTTTTTTGTTATCTTGTTGAGTTTTGAAGCGAATTCTTTGATAGTTGCATTGATTGTTGATATTTGATTGCTGATAGTTAATAATAATAATAATAATAATAAAAATAATAAAGGCATTGCCTCATTGATTTAACACGACTCAAAAAAACTCTAAATCAATTGGTATTTAGTACAGACCAAGATCAAATACAAGATAACTTGAAACCACTGTGCCTCTGTGCTACATAGTGTGCTACTGTGCTACTTTGCTACATGAGCTATTGTGCTACTGTACTATCTTGCAACCAAGGGCACTAGGACACCGAATGTGGTTGGATTTCTATAGGTTTTTTTTTTCCTTTCGATTATTTGAATGAAATTAACGTTATATACTTGTTTACTTATCTTGTGTCCGTGTTCCTTCGTTCGCTGTTGTAATGCAGAAGTTTTCATTGCAAAGGTCAAACAGTTTGAATAGGCTATGAGCGTTACTTCTTTAACGGCCGTTCCGTACTTGACTCTGTTTGTACTATTCCAACAAGAACGCGACCGCGCGATGCTCCTTACGTCAGTAATATTCAACCGTCCAGAGTTGATATGTTTAATTAAATCCACCTTAAGTCCCATATAGAGCCCCGGGGTAGGCTACTAGCCTGCTTGCCATTACTGTTACTGTTTACGAAATGAAATGTAACTTTTCTCGCTCAACGATCAGACAGTTGCAGTTCAAAAATATCAATATCTACCAGTAGGTCATGTTAGGTCACGCTCACGTTGACTGGACGTGTACAAGTAAGTAAACAAATAAAGATTAGATTGTTATTACGAAATATCGTAAAAAAAATTCCTTTATTGTAGTTGACGATACAAAAGGGAGAAATTTCTTTGAGTAAAAATTGTCGCATGAGAGTGGGGATTTTAGTGTGTGTGTTAGTAGCGTGTTGTCGTTGATTGATGATACATAAATCTCTAGTTTCCTGTAGTCACGTCTTAGGGGTCGAATTATTAGCGTTCGGGTCCGAGTGAGGAACGAGGGCGATCGTGTTACCCCTGTCTAGGCTCGGCAGTGGATCGTACACTAGCGTTGGTGCTACATCTGTTATCGCTGTGTAAACACACTGCCACCCCACCATTCAAAATAATTGGATTAAGCGAGCAGACGAGAGAACAATGGCAAGCAGGCTAGTAGCCTACCCCGGGGCTCTATATAGAACTTAAGGTGGATTT